CAATACAAACGCTTTATCAACAATTTTTGAAAATAACATCAATCAATTGATGTTATTAACAGAAAAGCCTAAATGAACCTTAATAGCAACTTCTTCTCCCTCCCTGAACACACACACTTTTTTCACACAATTTTCTTGCTTTTTCTTTCCTTAACATGCTTTAGGATCCACATGAATAATGTTTTTTTACAAAAATTCCCTTTTAATTGACAACTATTTTACTAGTACTAATTTTAAAATTACCCTGTATACTTGGAGTAATTTCATGAAAACAGCAATTCGATTTTATTAAAAAATTATTATTAATATTCTGATACCATAATGTCTTTAGCCATTTGTAGCTATGAAAATAGCTGTTTAAAAAAATTGATATATTAAGATCAGGTAAGTGTATCTATTTGTCCAATGTGCAACCTATACTTGATTACTCTTCTTCTTTAGTGAAGTTCGCAGTGACTTTGACTTAAGTTGTTTAACTTTAACTTTATAAGCTTGTAGATTATCCTTGACGTAGGAAAATGTTCTTGCTCTTACATACAAATTCAAGATGTCCTCAAGAACATTTAAACAAACCTCTTTGTTAACAACAACATCAGTTTCACTTTTGATCTTTGAAAAATTTGATAAAATATTTGTGTCTTTGAGAAGTGTTAGTACAATTTCTTTACTGTCAATTTTATTGATAGACTTTGCAGCCATATTTTTAAATGTTGTTTCAGCAGTAATAAAAATGGATATTGCCTCAATTTTCATTTTCCATAAGCCTGATCTGTTACGTGTGTTCACAAGTTTATGCTCAGGCAAATCATCACTTCCTTGATATTAGGCAGCAAGTAAAATAGACATATACTGTTGGTAATACTCTTCCTTAAAAATATCTGAAAACCTGATGCGACGATATAACGTGCTAAAAACATACCCACTTAGATAGGCAATAACAGATTGATCTCTATTTGAAAGTACACAAGATTTTTCAGATAAAATTGAATCACCTAAAACTGATTGACCAGAAAGATGTGACAATACATGGTTACATACTTCGAATCCAAGTAAGGTGGAACACTGTGTATTTAATCCTATAAAAATAGATTCAATGTTGTCAAAGATACATTTGTAAAAATCTGGATAAAAATTTTCGGCATTTCCTCGAAATAAAGATAAAACTGGTTTAATAAACTAATATGCTGTGTTAGATATATCGAAATTAATCACATAGGCTTTAAAATGATTTTGTATTGATTCAAAGCAGTTATCTGATGAAAGCTTCGCAACACTTTTTTCTAAATATATTTGAAAATTTTGAAGATCAAGTATTTCTTCTGGTATTTTAGATTTCTCAGTATCTTTTAAAACTTCCGAGTGAACTGATAAAGCATCTGAATGTTTGCAATTAGTATGACGAGTGAGACCCCAAGAGCTCAAACATATTTTATTACAAAATCGACATGAAAATGTTGTTTGTGGTGTATGCGAATCATGTTGTTTTTCAACAACATCAGTTAACAAATCCTGGTCAATAACTGCAAAAATAGCATCAAGCTCATCTTGATTTAACTTGACAATGTGCTCAAAAAGAAATAAATCATCTGAACCTTCGGCCATCATTAAGTTTATTTTGCACCTTATTCCTGCGGGCCACCCGATTTTCAACTTAAACAATAAAAACTGTTAGAAACGGCCTGCGTTTCCAGACTATTCTTTTTATGACTATGGCCGAATTAAACACAAACAGAGTTTTACTATTACTTAGTAATGGATCAAGAAGAATCTCGAATTTCACATAACAGTTCTTTAAAATACTTGAACATCAAACTGTGCAGCTCATTTAAAAAAACAACCATAGATTCATCATTAGTATGGAAATATTATGGTCAAATATTGAAACAAAATTGTAAAGTTATCAACGATAAACATTATTACTGTAGCGAATGTTTTTTGATAAAAAAAAAAGTCGAGTCCTCAGGTGCAGGTTATTTATCGAGAATTCACAAGGTTAAGATTTCCACATCAAGCAGTAATTTGAGAAATCATCTATTTCTTGTTCACAAAGTAGTAACAGACAAACCTGCCGTTGAAGTGAAAAATGATCAAATTTTACGTAGATGGTACAGTAGCTCTATAGCTAGTTCATCAAAATATGATATAAGTCGTGATCTTGTCCTTTGGTTTTCTACAGATCTACTACCATTTTCTCATAACATGAGAAAATGGTAGTAGATCTGTAGAAAACCAAAGGACAAGATCACGACTTATATCATATTTTGATGAACTAGCTATAGAGCTACTGTACCATGAGTCATGTTGATAATGAAGGGTTTAAAAAGTTTTTTGAAAAAAACATTGGGTTAAAACTTCCCACAGGTTTTGCTGTGAGTCAAGTAGCATTACCTGATATGTACAAAGATATTGATGCAGCAACAATTTTATTTGATGGTTGGACTGACAAGTACAAAAAAATTAATTATATGGGTCTGAAGTGTTTCATTATTAATGAAAACTGGCATAAAAAATTTTTTACTTTGGCTTGTTTGCCTTTAGAAAGTCATACAGGTGAAAATTGTCATAAATTTATCAAAGACATTGTTCAAAAATTTTTTCAGAGGCGTTGTAGAGATATCAGGCTACATACTGTGCACGGCGGTGCAGAGAATATGATGAAAACATCTAAACTTTTAGGCTCAAAGGATCTACAACATTGTTTGGCTCATATCTTGCATTTAATATTGATGGCATAAATAGTTGTACTGAAACAAAATGTTTGTTAGAAAAATGCAGACAAATTGTAACCTGCCAGAACTTCAAGTCAACTTTATTTTTAGAGGAATCACATTGTGAAGCAGACATTAAATTATACAACAATCTTCGAATCCTTGCTGAAGTGAAAGACATTGATGATTTAGAGCAGCAATTTCCCATTGAAATTTATGATGAAGCAAACATGATTGAAGCAAACAATTTAGATATTGCTTGTAAAGAAAAATTTTATGATAATTTCATAAAAAGGCACCATAGAAGTCTGAAACAGCAAATACGCACAAGATGGAACAGTGCTCTCTTTATGATACAATCAATCTAATTATTAGATCCTGTAGAAATTTTACTCAAGAAATGTGGTAGACAAGACCTTTGTTTAGATAATGAAGAACAAGCCTTGATTTCAGAATTGGTTAAATTTTTAAAATCATTTGAATCATTAACCCATGTGGTCAGTGCTGGAAATTCGCTTTCTATTTTGCTATAAACACAAAAGACTAAAACTACTTTCAATTAATTCTTGTAATTTAAATGAAATAAAAAAGCTAAAGGAATGTTGCTCTAAAAAAATTGACCAAAGGCTTAAGTTATCAACTTCTGCAAAAACCAAAAACTTTTGGAAAAAGTTACTGAAACACTAATAAATTTTATTAGAAATTAATTTTTTTATATTAATTGTGGAAAACAGAATAGTTATTAAATCAGTATCAGTAGTTATTATTTTATTAAATTATTAAGTTCTTCAAGTATCATTTGTTTATTATTGATATCGGTTTTTATTAAATTGATTTATCTGGTTTTAGTTATATCAGAGTCAGAAAATGATAAAGATTCAAAATCAGGTCCTAGTGCTAAGCAACAACTACTTCAAGAGATGAAGAAAAGTGTTACTTCTGCAGAAAAAAAATATTAAATTGATTCGGAAGTAGAGCAATTTATATCTCATATACCTACGACAGATGAAGCACTGGATTGTTTATTGTTTTGGCGAAATCATCAAGCAAAGTATCCACACTTAGCAGTGCTTGTAAAAGAGTATTTTAGCATACCAACCTCAAGTGTATCAGTGGAACCCATGTTTTCATTAACTGGATTGATTTTGAACTCAAGAAGAAGCAATTTAAGTTCTTCCAATATGAACATGACTATCTTTATTCATGACAATATCGGTCTTATTTGATTTTTAACTTTAATTGAAAAAAAATAATTTAAACTTAAATTTGTTTTCTTTTTGTCGAAAACGATACTAATTATAATTCAGAGCAATTTGCGCAGCCAGAAGCCAGCAACTTTGTTGGTCAGCCAGTATCAGCTAGTTGGCCATGTTGCTCAGCTTTTAGCCACTTGCTAAAACTGTCAGCCAGCAACTGATATGTTCTAAGCACGGCTTTAAACTCTATTAATACACCAGTTCGAGCTACGTTACGGAGAATTTTAAAAAAAGACTGGATTAAACAAGCTGGTCCAGAATTTTTAGTGTTTAAGATAGATAACTTCCAGAAATGGTGCTTTCATAAAATTTTGTAATAATCATACTAATGCAAAATAAGAATGTTTTAAAAAAAATTGCGACAATCGGAGACTGGAAATAATATTAAACCTAAAATTTGGGTCCTTGTGTCCCATGTATGATTTCAATGAAAAAAAAAACTTTTTTTCGTAATATCTTTAACTAAATTAAAATTAATCGACAGATTTAAAATTTCATACAAAGACCTCTTCTCTTTAAAAAGTTATTATTGTTTTTAGTTTTTTATTCCTCAATTGGGGAATAAAAAACTAAGAAGATTTTAGTTTTTTGTTGTAATTTTTAGTGATATTTAACATTACAAGTTAATAATTCATATTTTACAGACTAACTTTTCACAATAAATTATATATAGAATTTTTTAAATATTCTTCTGTATGTTTTACCAAAGCGAGTTTATAAAATGTTATATGTTGTAATTTTACAAACTACAGTTTTAATTTGTATTAAGTCAATTTAAATAACCCTCAAAATCATTCTTTATTGCTAAAATATTTGAAATTGGTTAATTAAAAACCACTTTTAGTTTTAACGAGTTTTGATTTTTATGCATTATTGAAATTTGTGTTTTGTTACACGTTGCGTTTGTAATATCGTTAGTTGTGCTTTGAAAATTTAAATATTAATTATTATTTCACCTTTGAAATGCCATATTCAAGGCTAAGTCACAGTCAAAGTAGAAGTAAAGTTTGTTTAATTTGCTTTGAAAAAGGAAAAAATTTAAGTAAAATACAAGAAAGAAGTGTAGTTTTATTGAGAATTAAAAAATATTTCATTGACAATATTAATTTAAATGATAACCGTTTTCCAAATGGAATTTGTGGAAGATGTTGAACTAATTTAGTAAAAATGGATAAAGGTAACACCAATATAGTTTTATGTAAACCATTTGATTTCTCTAAGATCAAAGAAACGATTCTTACTAGAAATCAACAGTTTTGCCAATGTGATATTTGCCTTACTGCTAGGTGTAATTTAACACGTGGATCAAATATAGAAAAAAGAGGAAGACCAAAACTCAACATGAAAGTTTTACCCTCTCCTGGACCAGTTAAAGTTTGTAAAAGATGTCTAAATGTTATTGGACCAGGATTAGCCCACACCTGTTGTATTACAAAGCGAAGGGAAAACCTAATAAAGCTACTAGATAAAGGTAAAAAAATATTAATTTCATTATTAAGTTCCTATTAAAACTAAATTATAATAATAATTCCAAAGTAATTACAAATTTTATATTGTAGATTTTTATTTAGACGATAGAGGTGCCGAATTGCAATGTTCAAAAACTTTTAAACAAAAGTTTGAAAAACAAGGCAATTTAATTAAGGTTGCAACATGCAGAACTTTAATTAGTATACAAAGACCAAAAACTTCTTCTAAAGCTTTGTTTACTGATTCACCGATACATACAAGTGAAGTGAACAAATTAAAAAATGCATGTGGTCTCAGTAACACACAAGGTGCTAAAGTTTTAAGTATTTTTAGAAGTTGGAAAGGTCGCAAATCATTTGAAAAAAATACGAGAAATAAACTGATTGAAGAAGACGCCATTTTAAATGAATACTTTGACGTGAGATCTGTTAAATTTGATGAGGGTGAAAAGGTGATGGCTTATTGCAAAGATATTCTAGGACTGGTGGACAATGTTGTCAAAAAAAGAAATATTTGCGCTGGATTTTTGAAAATTTGTTTAAATATCTTAGATCGTTGCGAGGTATCTAAAGAAAAGGTAAAAAAATTTAGTTATGACGAAGGCATATGTAAAGAAAATACAAAAATGGTGGGGTTAACAAACTCATTATTATTGCACTTGTAGAAAATTTGCAAGAATCTTACGCAAATATGAAAATAATAATCGATTTTATTAATTTAAACAGTATTAAATACTTTTGTGCTTTCGATATGAAGTTGGCCAATATTTTTTTTGGAATAGAAACTGCAGCCTCAACTCATCTTTGCCCTTGGTATATAGCTAGCAAAAATGATTTTCAAAATTTTGAATTTCTAGGTAAACATAGAACGCTTGGAATGATTAGATCATCAGCTAATAATTACAAAAATGCTTGCAGAAATAAAATTAAAAAATCAAAGTTATCTGCAGTATCCTATCATAACTGTGTAGACCAACCACTTATTGATTTACCAGATGAAACAAAGGTTATAAAACTTCTTGCTCCGATGAAATTTTTAATTATCTTGATTCATATACAAAATCTAAAGAATTTTGTTTTAAAGCAGAGGAGTGGAATGAAAAACTGGGGTTTAAAAGACCAAGGCTTCATGGTAGGCAGTTTAAGGGAGGACAGTGTTCAAAACTTCTTGATAATATAGATATTTTGAACGATTTGATCAAGTCTTTTTCACTAGATAATGATGAACAACTTTCTTTCATACTACAGGCATTTAAATGCTTAACAGAAGTTAAAGTTAGTTGTTTAGCGATGACTTTAGAACCCGACTACGAAATAAAAGTAAAAGATTATCAAGAAGCTTACTATAAACTTGGATTTAGAGTATCACCTAAAGTACACGCTTTAGTAAAACATACAGAAGAATTTTTAAAAATGATGTCAAGTGATTATTCAAACAAAGATCTAGGCTTTTTGGAGCGAAAAAGCCTCTGAATCTGTTCATCAAAATTTTAGTCAGTTCTGGGAAAACGGTTACAAGGTATCCAAATGTCACAAAAATTAATCGAAAAGGTTGCATAAAGCTATTGTTACATATAACTCTCGTCATACTTTCTTTTCTGAAAGTCTTACTGATAAACTATATATATAATTTATTGTGAAAAGTTAGTTTGTAAAATATGAAACAGTTATTTTTAAGTTGTTATTTTAAATATCACTAAAAACCACTTCAAAAAACTAAAATCTTCTTATTAATTGTGTCCAGTGATCGGGCCGAATCATATTAAATCTCTAAGAACACGCCCCTAACGTAACGCCCTTAAAACGTTTATGAGTTTTTTTTTTTCTTTTCATATTTATTAGAATCAAAATTTATCGACAAATTTTGTATATCATTCCAAAAAAATATGCCGTTTAAAATTTGTGATCTTTTAAAGTTATTTTTTGGAGTTAATTGGGGAATAAAAAACTAAAAACAATAATAACTTTTTAAAGAGAAGAGGTTTTTGTATGAAAATTTAAATCTGTCGATTAATTTTAATTTAGTTAAAGATATTATGAAAAAAAAAATTTTTTTCTAATGAAACCATACATGGGACACAAGGACCCAAATTTTAGGTTTTATATTGTTTCCAGTCTCCGATCGTCCCAATTTTTTATAAAACATTCTTATTTTGCATTAGTATGATTATTACAAAATTTTATGAAAGCACTATTTCTGGAAATTATCTATTTTAAACACTAAATATTCTGGACCAGCTTGTTTAACCCCCTTTTATTTTTTTAGATATAGACATAATATTTTCAAAATCTAGGTCATAACAGAACAAGGTACGGTGGTTTCGAAAATGTAATCCGTTTCTGGTGTACTTTTTTTTTCGTAAGAAATATTTCCTCTAGGGTGTGTTCGACAACTTTGTCTATGGATAATACCTTTTTTAAGATTTTTGTCATTATTCTGGGCGACTCATCTATTTTATGAAAAAACAATCGATCAAATGTATGACATATTTTTATATTATTATAAATATTGAAATCAGGGTTGGCAAAAACCCGGGTTTTCTTAAAAAAACCCGGCCCAGTGGATTTTTTTTGATAATTTTAGATTTTATTGGGTAAATTTTTTTTTTTTTTTTTTGGGGGGGGGGGGTTATTCTTATTTTACATCTGTTAAATTTTTTTTTGTTTAACGATATTGAAAATTAGTATAATCACACAATGCTGTTTAAGAATTTATAAAAAAAGGTTTTTAAATTATTTTGAAAAAGATTTTTAAACATAATTTAAAATTGTAACATAAAAAAAAATTCACGTTTAATTTATATGAATTGATTTATTTTTGTTTCTCTGTGCATTGGCCTTGTTTATAAAGGCTCGTGTTTTGGAGTTAAAGAGATGTGAGAGGGTTGTGACCACAATAAGGTAGCCTCCTAAACGGTAGTGGTCTTCTCGGCCTTGGGAGGTGAACAACATAAAAGAAAAAAAAATCTCAATCTATAAAAAGATTGTCAATTTTGCTCAAAAAAAAAAAAAAATTCTCCTTCAATTGTGCAAGTGGACGGAAACAAAAATACAAAGTTATTGATAATAAAGTACAAAAAAATTGCTTAAACAGGAGACAAAAAAACGAGAGAGAAATGAATTTGAAAAAATCTAGTTTTTAGATTCTCAAAGCTTCTATATTAATATATCAAAAACATGAAAAATACAATTTTTTTTTTTTGTTATTTAGGTGCCCCAATAAGATCTAACGGTCTTGTCACAGAGCACCGCAGAAGTGCATTTAACCAGGAAGTTCACGCCTCCTTCCTTACCGTGACGCGAAAGTATGTCCAGACATGTTTCGAACCTGGATCTCCTGTTTCTAAAGCAAGCGCTCTAACCACTGCACCACGGCCGCACAAATAGCCCTCTCCGATCAGATTAAGATAAAAAATGGTTTTATCTGTGACGATCTTTTTAATATTGCTAACATCTTAAATAATCAATTTCAATCGTTGTCAAAGAGGATACAAATCTAATTCCTGAAGTTAATAATAATAATAGTATTCATTTTTAAACTAATGGATGAAGGTAAAATACTGCATAATAAATATAATTAAATATTGGAACTTTTGAACAACGAAGATTTTAAAAAAATCAATTGGCATTGACAAGGTTACCCTACATTTCTTTAAGAATGCTCAACGTCACTAGCATACCCAATTTTACTAATCTTTGATAAATTCTGAGCTTCCAGCAAAATACCAAGTCATTAGAAAGAAGCAAATGCCATTCCTATCTTCAAAAAAAGGTAATAATCTTATGCCAGAAAACTATAGAGCTATTTCGCTGACGTCGATTATCTGTAGACTATTTGAATTTATAATACGCAAAGAAGTTTTGGACCACCTAATAAAGAACAATCTAATTAATATGCAACAACATGGATTGTTGCTTAGTAAAACGTGTATAAGAAATTTGTTAAAGACTATCGACCTTTTATCAACTTGGATGGAAAACAATAATTCAGCTGATATCAATAATATCAGCTGATAACTCGACTTTCCAAAGCATTTGACACTATTGCCTTGAGACTTTTGCTTAAGTTAAGAAATTATGGTATCAGTAATCGATTTGTCGCATGGGTTAAATCATTCTTAGAAAATAGGAAGCAAAGAGTAGTAATTAACCAAATTGAGTAAAATTGTGAAGTTCTTTTTAGTGGTATTTTACAAGGTTTTATATTGGGTCCACTTTTTTTTAGTCCTGTTTAAGAGGTGATTTAATACAAATTTTTAAAATCATCAATAAAATAGATGGCGTAAATCTAACTTTACATGAGTACGATTTCATAGAGCAAACAAATATACAAAAAAATTCATACACGTGGACACAACTTTACCAAGCAGAATTTACTAATAAAAGTGCCTCTAGACAAAATTATCTCCTTAATCAAACAGCAACCGCATGGAATGAATTACTGGTGGAAATAAATTCTCAAGGTGGAAATAAATTCTTAAATCAAACTTAATAAACACATACAAAAGAACTGTAAATAAAGCAACTTAATTTTGCGAATGTTTCAATATGTAAATCACATGCTGCAATTAGATTATATTAAATTATACAATATAAAATCTTAATAAGCAAGTTTATTACATTTTAGATAAATTTTAAAAGATTGTTTGCAGTCTACTGTAAAATTTTTGATGTTTTTTCTTTTAACAAACTAATTGTTTATCGTTTAAACCAGGTATATTATGGAAATACCGAAGCACCTTCATTATTACGAGGAAGTGTTTTTACATCTCTATAACTAGTTGAGTAATAAATGCTCATAATCGCATTCTCGTAAAAACCGAAAACTGGTAATTCTTTTAAAAACAAACTTTTTTGCTTTAAAGTTCACAAATTCACAACTTGCACGAAGTTATTTCGATTAAACATCTCGTGTGTGCATAATTAGTTCTGTATGTGTCAGGCCTTTTTTATAGCACAACACTGTTTTTAAAAAGTAGGGACATAAATAGTTTTATTAAAATACTATGTTAGTGTGTAACACCGGACCGAAAACGCTGCTTAAATTTCCTCTTTTTTAAGTAATTAAATTTATTAAAAAAAGTAACATTGTTGATGTCACTTGTTTATAAATGCTTTTATAATTATTCTAAAAAAAAGTATTAATAATTTTAAATAACAAAATTCAAAAAAAAAGAAAGTAAATTAATTAACATTATTGCTAAGATTTAACAACTCCACGAAATGTTACGCCTACCCTCAAAAAAGAAAAAAAAGTCATAACTTATAACTATAAAATGGTATCTCTCACCTATACCGATCAGGGTGATGGAGTTTTTATTAAATACATTCATTAAAATGTCACACAACAACATCTATATAAAATTGATGCCTATAAAATTTGAGGCCACCTATTAAATTGTATTTCTAGTTGGCTAGCTAATGGACAGCAATGAGTAATAGAAAATAAACGTCTGAGTGAAAAAGGCTAACGAGTGGCGTTTTTTAAGGATCAGTTTTTGCATCGCTGCTACTTGTTTTCTTCATCAATGACTTACCAAACTGCATTTATGAACATACCAAATTATCGCCAATGATTGGAAGATCATATGAGTTATCAATGTCAATGAATTTTCCTCTGACTATGAAAAACTGACACCGACAGCGCTGTAAATTGGTCGCACAAGTGCCTTAGGAATTTCAACGTCAAAAGTGCAAAGTAATGCAAGTTGGATATCAAAAAATCCAGGGCTGTAGAGTCGGAGTTGCGACATTTTCAGCGGCGTAGGAGTCGGAGTCGCTAAACAAAATCGCGATTCCGAATCGAATAGTAAAACTTCTCGGTATTGCACTTGCAATACCGAGAAGTTTGAAATAAATAAACGAAAGAAATGTTATTAACATTGTTACAGATTGTCCGAAATTGCAATTTCTTATTTTATAATTAAATTCGTTTAATTTATTTTTGATTAGAATTGATTCTATGTTTAAATTGATTTAAGCAATGACAGCCGATGATATTTGATTTGTACCTAGTATTTGCGCTATTCGATTGAAATGCGATTTAACTAATCGCGAGGTTAGAACTATTTTGTTCTATCTCCACAAATCAAAAAAATTGACTTAGATAATTTTTTTTTCATTTTATGAATAAAATATTTATTTTTTACAAATAAATCATTAAAAAAAATGTACTATCATATTCTGCTTTATGTACTACCTCCTGTATCAAATGTACAGGAGATAGTACATAATGCATTCACTGATCTCAAAATACAACTGGATAGCGGATTCTATTGTTTTTTCCGAAAAAAGTTGAAGCCAAAATTGGCCTCCCAAGATGGCCAATTTTGGCTTCAATTCACGACTAAATTTCGAAGTTTTTCAAAGTGAATTCTTTGTATTGCAGAAGCTTACTATTCACGATTTTTCTACTGTCTATTCAAAGTTCAAACAGAATCAAGTACTTCCCCTTTCTTTTGTTATAAATGCTAACTATTTATATTTTTTACTGCTCTTCCATTATATGTTTAGTTTATTGAAATTAACTTCATATTTTTCATTAATGTAGATAAAAACTCAATATTATGGATGTTGTTGATAATGTTCAAAATTGGGGATAATGTTGAGGGCTTGAATGGTGAAAATATCGGTGAAAATGGTAACAATTTAATTGACGTGGAAGATAAGAATACAAGTAGTATTGTTAAGGGAAGAAA